ACAGCAAAGTTTAAAGGAAAATAGCAGCTTATACTTAGTATGAGAATGAGTTGAAATTTCTAGGGATACATAATACGGAAAGAGGGCTTAGAGAATTTGACACTCACAGGATGTATTAAGGGCAATAGGGACAGAAGGAAATGGTGAGTAACCTAGATAATAAGCTTATGTAAATGGATGGCAGAATAGAAAAAGGAAGGGATGATGAAAAGAAACAAACCGTACTCAGAGCTACAAAGGATAGAACCCATGAGCACTCATATCATGAAAGCACACAGTACATAAAAGAAGATAGAAGATGACCTGATATTAAAATAAATAGGTAGCATCTTCTTGTGGTAAAAGTGATGTTCTAGTATGAACAAGAAATTATTCTTTATCTTCAAAGTGCACAGTTTGCTTATGGCCATAGATTGGCATCTGTGGAGTTGTGATGAAAAGCAAATGAAATTAACATGAAAGAAACACTTGTCAAAAATTAATAATATCTGACAATGCTTCATCTAATAAGAATTCAAGAAAGTATTGCTACTAATACTATGAATATATATAAAGAAAACTATTGCATAAAATATAGTGGAATTGAGCAGTCAAGGAAAAAGTTTTAGCCAAATATAAAAAGGTCTTTTAAAGCTCAATCTACAAAAAGGATGTGGGTTTAAATCTCACTGAGAACTTATTGTTGATTTCCAATTGAAACTGTTTATTAATGACTGTAGAATGATTGCTTGATTTTTCTTTTCAGCAAATGGTTCTCCACAATTTCCTATCATTTGTGATGATCTGATTAGTTGTGAATGAAAGCAACTGAAATGAACATGAAAAAATGCTAAACAAAAATTAATAATGGTAGATAAGGTTGGTTGTTTGATTTTATGACACTTGTTGGGTCATTTAATACTGAATTTTGTATGGGGCACCCAGTGAGGATCAAACTGACTATTCAGTAGTAATGGTCATCAATAATAGATTTGGTAAATTGTTTTTATGACATGTCAATTCATGGTGGGTCATTTAATACTGAATTTTTCTATGGAGCACCCAGTGAGGATCAAACTGACTATTCAATAATAATGGTTAACAAGACTGTAGTTGGTTGATTGATTTTATGACATGTCAATACTTGTTGGGTCATTTAATATTGATTTTTGTATAGGGCACACAGTGAGTATCAAACTGATTATTCAGTAGTAATGATCAACAAGACTAGGTTTGGTTGATTGATTTTATGATGTTTTGAGTCATTTAATATTAAATTTTGTATGGGGCTCCCAGTGTGGATTAAACTACTCAATCATAATGCTCAATCAGACTATCCTCACTAGTCATTACTCCACACCAATGTGCCTGAATGGTAGACAAATAAAATAAGATAATCATGAACCATTGTCATCTGAATTTATTTTGGTGCTTAACTCTGATTCATAATGAAACATTCAGTAAAACTTTGAGTTATTCAAACTTTACTATTGTCATTTTTCATATTTAGTTTAAGCATTTCTATGAAGCCCGAATGTACAATCATTAGCAAAAGGAACAGCTAAAGATGTGAGCTCTAAATTGGAGATGTCAAAATGAAGAAAATACTGAAAGGTGTTTTAATAGTCAGTGAAAAATATGGGACAGAAATCAAAGGCACATTAGAATAGATGCCTTTCAAAAACAAAATAAAATATTAATAAACAGAAAAATATCATTAGAAACAAAGAAAAGAGTGTTGAACTTCTATTAAATATCAGTCCTCCTTTATGGCAGTGAATGCTAGATGAATAAGATGCCTTCGAAAAGCTAAACAAAATATTAAGAAACAGGAAAATATTGTTAGAAACAAGGAAAATAGTGTTGAACTTCTACTTATTATCAGTCCTCCTATATAGCAGTGAATGCTAGATTAATAAGATGCCTTCCAAAAGCTAAACAAAATATTAAGAAACAGGAAAATATTGTTAGAAACATGGAAAAGTGGGTTGAACTTCTATTTAATATCAATCCTCCTTTATGGCAGTGAATGCTAGATGAATAAGATGCCTTCCAAAACCTAAACAAAATATTAAGAAACAGGAAAATATCATTCATAACAAGGAAAATCATTTTGAACTTCTATTTAATATCAATCTTCCTTTATGACAGTGAATACTAGAATAAGTGACTTCAGTTGACGAAGGTGTGCTTCTACAGTAGGATGCTAAGAATACCATATACAGAATATTTGAGCACTAAGCAAGTTTTAAAGAGAATGAAAACAAAAAGAACACTGTTGCTTAGGATCAGAAAGAGACAGTTGAAATTTCTGCGTCACATAATGGGGAAAGTGGGCTTGAAGAATTTGACACTCACAGGACATATTGTACACAAAAAGAGCAGAGGGAGCACCAAGTAACATATTTAATTAGTTTGTGTGAATTGATGATGCTTTTCTTGAATTAACATGGCATATAAAAGAAGACTGATGTCATTTACTAAGCATAGCTTATTTTGGCACAAGGTCACTAAAGCAACTTCTGGCACTTGAAATCACTATTCAACCAAGACTAACCTGTCTAATTATGATTCCAATTTAATCAATAGATTGAAATACTGTTCTATATTCTCTGTACACTTAAATTGATAGTGGTCAGCAAGCAACAATTTTATAAATTTAAACCAACCATGTTTTGCAGAGTATTTGGTGCCATGGATTCTATAACTAGTTATATTGAGAAAAACATGCTTAAATTTAAACTCAAATACACTTCTTTTTTAAAGTAATTTTTTTCCATGTAAAAAACGATTAGCTCACTGGTATAATTGTAAGAGTCAATCGTATTCAGATAGTATGAATACCTGAATGATTATGTTTCAATTTAAGCTTATCTAACATGTGGAACAATCTTTGGCTCATTCAAAAGAAAATCATGCCTTATCTTACTCAGACTATTTCTTTTTATTCACCATAATGCAGTACAAGTAACTAATTCTTGCTCTTTTGATCTACTTAGTTTAACTAATTTTTAGTCATTAGCTTGACTTTTTATTCTTGTTTAATTTAATTTAATATTTTTCTAGATTTTCAGCTTAATGCAAAACAATGTTTAGTTTTTGACTTTCTTGTTCTGTTTTGTTTCAATTTGTTTTTAGTGTTTGCTAAGCTTAACTTAGCTTAGTCCTGCATAATACCAAATGTGGGGATAGGGGATAGGAAGATTATGTTGTGCCAGTGTTCTTGGTGGGAAGAGCAAGACTGCATGTCTTTATAATCATTTTTAGGACTATTTTTGTCTTTTCATATAATTCTTTCCCTGTCTTTTAATATTTGTTTTGTGTAATTCTTAATTTGTTTATTACCATTCTTTCTCAAGTTTTGTTATGATTTCTATTTTTACTTAACTGGATTTCTTTACATTATTCCTTTCTTCATTTGAATTCTCTTTGTTTTTAAAGCACCTTTTTTTTTTCTTTTTTTTTTTACTTATGATTTTTCTGTCTGCATTGTAATTTTGTCCCTATTTTTTTTTTTATTTCTGCAGTTTTCTTTTCTTTTTCTCTCACATACATTCTTTGCCTTTCTTTTCTCTTGTCCTCTCAGTTTTTTCATTTGGTCATTTCACCCCACCATGCAAAGCAATAATACTGCTAAGATGCAAGTGATTACTGAGAATAAAAGAGATTGAGATGGTAAAGAAGCAAGAAACTGGAAGGAAGTTCCACAGATGAGAAAAGCAAAAAAAAAACAAGCTATTAGAATAGAATATAGAGTTACATTTAGCTATTTCAATGATAAAATAATAAGACCCAGTTACCAATCTACTAATACACTTAAATTAATGCAGTCAACGTACCAAGGAAGAAAGCTCATCAAAACAATTACTATGAAATTATTTGTAAAAAAGATGAGTGAAAAGCATATCATGATGGTGTGAAAGTGACTGAAATTGAGATACCAGGTCAGAACTGATTACCTTACAGACTATTCCTTGGATTTTGTCAAGAATTTATACATATATATATATATATATAAAACAACTAAAAAGTTGCAAATTAAAAAAATAATAATGTTTTTTATGAAAGTATTTATTTATATTTGATATTTCAGATCAACCTCGATCTTTCTTCAGTTATTTCTGAAGAAAGATCGAGGTCAATCTGAAATATCAAATATTTTTTTAATTTGCAACTTTTAGTTGTTTTTTCTATATTTTAAGAAAGTATACGTGGCTTCTCATTATACTATATATATATATATATAGGATGCAGTTGGGCGCCATCATTGAGGAAAAGAGCACCATGACGCAAATCATTCCACCAGAAATTTAGAAATGACATGCTGCACTGCTTGGTATTTACACTGGAATCTCCAATACAAGCATTTCAGTGTTTGGGTGTCAATCTGATGACAGTGCAGAGGATTTGGAAAGAGTTGGATGAGTCTAATGGTGATTATGAATGTGTTTGGAGTGATCACTAGTGATAGTGACATTATGCCTCCATTCACAGAGGCTGAGACTTAACACAGAGGCCTACATCAAATGGCTTGAGGAGGTAGTGCTATCCTGGATCAAGAGGGTGGCTGCTAGAAGACCTCATATCTGGCAACAGGACTCTGCGCTATGCCACACAAGCAGGAGAACCCAGTCATGACCATAAGACAATTTCTGCAACTACATCACCCCTTACATCTGGACACCTAACTCCTCAGACTGCAATCCCCTTAATTATTTTGTGGGAGGGGGGTGCAGCTGAGTGAAGGACCAACAAACTTCTTGTAACACCAAAGATAAACTGAAGGCAAGGATTATGGCAGCATTCATCTGCTTAAACAAGGAGACCATCTAGAAGAGTTGCAGTAGATTCCAAAATCATCTAGAGGCTGTGGTTAAAACTAATGATGACTTTATTGAATAAATTTACTCTTTAGTAATTTTGTGTAACCTTTGGTAAATATATCTGTTAAAATGAGATGTCAGTGTTGTTTCCATTTTTTATAATTTAGGTGACAATTTATCCAATTCCCTCTGTATTAGGAGCACCAAATTCTTTGCCTTTCTTTATTTCTTCAATTCTCTTTCATTTTTTTCTTTCACATTTAAACTCTTTACCATTCTTTATTTTCTTAATTTTCTTTCTTTTTTTCACATTCTGTGTCTTCCTTTCTTTCCTCAATTTTCTTTATTTTTTCTTTCACATTTACATGCTTTACCTTTCTTTATTTCCTCAATTTTCTTCCTTTTTTTCTTTCACATTCTTTGCCTTCTTTATTTTCTCAATTTTCTTTCTTTTTTCTTTCACATTCTTTGCCTTTCTTTATTTTCTCAATTTTCTTCCTTTTTTTCTTTCACATTCTTTGCCTTTCTTTATTTTCTCAATGTTCTTCCTTTTTTCTTTCACATTCTTTGCTTTTTTTCCTCAATTTTCTTTCTTCTTTTTTCTCTCACTTACATTCTTTGTCTTTGTTTTTTCATCTTTTCTTTATGAATTCTATTCATAGTTTTCCATTTCTTTTTTCTTCTTTGCTCTCCCTTTTTATTTTACTCTTTTCTTTCTTAATATTATCTCTGTTTTTTACTTTTACATTCATTGCATTTTTTCTATTCACTTTTCTTTTTCTTCATCTTTTCTTTGTCTTCAAATCTTTCCCCCAATGTCAATGATTTTATGCACAATGCTTCTCACTATTCCATCTTTCCTTCTCCACTCCATCACATTCTGCCCTGAACACAATCTGATTATGTCATTAAATTAAAACATTTTTAATGAAATTAAATAGACTTTATCCCAATTAAACTGAATTCTATTTCCTTTTGATGTTGGCATCAAGATGCCTGCAGGCATATAACACAAGAACTGGATCAGATCAGCTGGTCTTGCTTGAATTGTTAATGTTGGTCTTCAGTACCTTCTTAAAATGAATCTTAAATTATTAGCCTATAATAACAATTGACATTTGTTTCATTATTTCATTGTGTGTCTTTGCAACAAAATAAAATAGCTTATTTGCAGAGTATGGGACAGTCATGTACAATCTAAAGTGACAAGTTGGTTAAATTTCAAAATTGCAACTCACCAAAGTGAAGGAAAAAATTTAGGAAATACTCCTAGGGAAACATTGTCAGATAAGACCCCAAAATTAATGCAGGACTTTCCACTCACATATGTCAATAGGCACATTTATTTTTAATCATTTCACCTCAAGCAAGGTAATAATGCCCCTAAGACACAAGGTGTTACTGGGAATGGAAGAGAATGAGATGTTAGTGAGAAGAAACGATAATAAAAGAATAGGGTTCAGGAAGGAAGAAGATTACGCTTGGCATTGCATTTAAATTTTAAAAAATTGTTGGTGGCAGTGAAGCAAGAATCAAGAAGCCAAAAGAGAGCTTCATAAGCAAGATGTGTGAGAAATGAAACTGTTATAATAGAACTTACAGTTACATCGAGTAAATTCAATAATAAAATGATGAGACCGAGTTGTCAATCTACTAGTGTGGTCAAGATACCAAGGAGGAAAGCGCATCAGAAAAATTACCATGAAAATATAGAAAAGACAGAGGGAAGCCATATTACAATGGCAGGGAAGTGACTAAATTCAAGATACCAGGTCAGGACCAATTACATTACAAAACCTTCTTTGGATGTTGCCAATAATCTTGAGATATATGGCATGAACTCCATACCAGATTTGGCAGTAATGTTCCATGTAAGAATTCTATTAAAAAAAACTACTTGGACATTTAGAATCTGAAAAAAGATTCTATTTTTTTTTAAGTCACTGCCTCACTACTTAGAGAACAAAACACATGCTCATCAATAGGATGCATATAATCCAAGAACGGGACACTGATATTAAAGAAAGAAAAAATACTACAGAGATCGAATACATTAGTGAACTCTTCCACAATAACAAAGAACTACCGGCAATACACAGAAATACTGAAGGGCCAGAAATATTAAAATCTGAAGTGAAATCAGCATTCACCAAATTGAACAGAAACAAAGCAGCAGGACCAGGTGGAATTATGATAGAGATGCTTGCAGTCTTTGATGATTTTGGTATTGATGAAATTAAAAATATAATAAATGAAATATACGACAGTGGTGATATACTGGAAAATCTAAGTAGAAGTATTTTCAAAGCACTGCCTAAGAAGCCAGGTGCAAAAAAATGTGAACCCCATTGGGCAATCAGCCTAGAGCCATATAACAAGACTTACGTGAATTCAGATAAATAGAACATGGAGCAGAATAGGACAAGAAAAAGGAATGCAATATTTATACTGAGAATGATATCAGAAAGAGCTATGCAAGTGCAAGAGGATGTATACCTGTGTTTTATAGATGATGTAATGAATATGCATACACCTAGGTTCCTCCTCACAGTAATATGATTGGCTGGTGTCAGCCATAAATACAGACTGATGTGGAGGTACAGGTCGGTGCCTATTAGCTACGCCTATTGCCTACCACTACGACGAGGACCAGTCCATACGGTTACCTGCTAGATTGTCCTACCCAGTTACAGTAGTCAACAACTACTTTGCTACTTCAAACAAATATATCCCTTTCTGGGACATATCAATAGATTATAGAAAAGCATGTCACATTAACATTGAAAGTCACAAAGTACTGTTGAAACTGTTGGGTAACCTTGGTATATTTTGGAAGGATATTAGAATAATCCAGAACTTATACTAAAAGCAAACTGCCTGCATATAGATAAGAGCTGTAAGACAAGGATTTGTTTTCTCACCAGACTTATTCAATCTACAAAGTAAGGTGATTTAGAAGTCATCCCAGGAAAAAGTATTAACAGCTACAATCTTAAAAACACATGATGTGCAGATGACACAGTATTGATAACAGAAAGGAAACTACAAGGACTCCTCCAGAAGGTAGTGAAGGAAAGTAAGAAGAAAGGACTAAACATCAGTTGAAAGAATATAGAAGGCATCGTTGTTAGTAAAAGGAATAGCCCAACATGCAAATTACAAAGTGAAGATACCAAAATCAAACAAGTAGAACAATTTAAATATCTAGGAACTGTTTTAACACAGTACAGAAAGTGCATCAGCAAAATCCAAAAGTGCATTTGGTTATCCAAAGATGCCTTCCAAATGCTAAGCAAAGTATTAAGAATCAGAAAGATTTCATTAGAAATAAAAGAATGAGTACTGAAAACTGCTATGTAATATCTGTCCATTTATATGGCAGTGAATGCTGGACTATCTCTTCACAGATGAAGAAGAGACTTGAAGCAACAAATATGTGGTTCTAAGGAAGGATGCTGAGAACACCATGGACCAAACTCGAGTAGCAATTCTCTGGCAGAAGCTGTCTGAATGGAACTTATTTCTTACCAATGAAATATGAAGGAAATATGGATGAGTTGGTCTTTTGTATGTGGCATGGCATCTCCTAGCTGTAATGGTCTAATGGTGGAATTAAGGAATGTAACTCATTTGAACATTTACCATGGAAATAGCAAGAGAGTAGCAACTGGTTTGCAATAAGCATATATTTTGTTTGTTGGGTAGAGGTTGTAGGTTTGAAAATAATTCACCACCTACAAGACCATGTAAATGCTTTTGAACTCTATCAAAGTTGGATCCCTGTTCAAGTAATGTTCCTGATTTATACATATGGCATTGAAGTGTTATTTTCATGATTTTTCATGTTGAACAGCAACTCTTTTAGATCCTTTCACATTAATGCAGATGTCATTGATGTCTATATCCTTGAACATAGATTGTTTCTAATCTTCATCAACAAACTTCCAAATGTCATCAGTATTTATGCTTATGATACAAATATTTACTCATATCAGTCCACCTATATGGCAGTGAATACTGGACAATCTCCTCACTGATAAAAAAGTAACTTGAAGCAACAGATATGTAGTTCTATAGAATACCATGGACCGAACTTGTAAGCAACAGCCAAATTTTAGAGAAAATGGAAGCACATTAATGCCAATCTCTTTTAGGACTTTATCCTTGGACTTATAATGCACTAATCTTCATCAACAGACTTCCCAATGTTATCTGCATTTATCCTTATGACACAACTATTTACTCCTATCGTAATTGTAAGTTCAGTAAAGTAAAACTGGTGACTGATCTTGAAAAGGACATCCAATCAATTGTTAACTAGGGCAAGAAATGCCTTGTAAATTTTTACACCCACAAAATGCAATAATGTCAATTGGGATGATTGTATAGAATCAATTATTATAAGGCCTGCAGCAAGTAAAGTTAGTTTATTGAGTAATGCCAGACAATTTTTCTTGCCAGAATCCAATTTTCACATTTATAAATCTACCATTCATCATTGCATTTAATATTGCTGCTATATCTGGTTTGGTGCACCTGCTATATATCTCAAGATTCTTGGCAAAATCCAATGAATGGTCTGTAATATCACTGGTCCTGAACTGGCATCTTGAATTCAGTCACATTCCTACTTTTATGATATGGCTTCCCTTTGTCTTTCCTATAAAGATGTAGTGAAAGAGATAATCACCTACCTCAAAAAAGAGTTTGTGTTTTGTGTACAATCTGCCAAAGAAAGATTACCAAAAATAGCAAAAATCTGCTACTTTAAGTATCTGAATCTATACTGATGTTCTTGCCTCCCCTGAATGATGTGGCCAATTAGAAAATTGCTCAATGAATAAAAGCCGTTGTTTTTTGTTTAACAGGGTAGGATTTTTTATGAGCTTGGTTGGCAAACATGCGTTTTTGCTGGTAAGAAGTGAAGGTTGGATTTGTGATCCCATTTAGTCATTTCTACGTTGCCTGTTGGACTGTTACGATAGACTATCGTTTGAACTCTGATTTGGCCACAAGTGTTGTGGATGAAAGACAGAAGAAACCTATTGTAAGCATTTATTGCTACTATAAGTTTACAGTTTTTTTTTTCTTTTTTTTACTACAATAAAATAATTTCATGGTAATTGTTCTCATGAGCTTTCCTCTTTGGTACTTTGACTGCATGAATTTAAACATAGTACTACACTAGCAAGTGGATCTTATAGAGTTTTACTATTAGAATAGATGTAACCATAAGTTATAATTTATTTTCTTGCACTTCTCATTTGTGGAATTCCCTTCTGGTTTCTTGCTTCCCTGCCAACTACAATCTTCAAAAATTTAAATACAGTGTCTATCGACTTCTTCTGTCTTCCTAAATCCTGTTATTTTATTTTTCTTTTCTGCTCAATTTTTTTCATTTTCTTTCACTCTTGTATCTTTGTAGCATTATTGCTTTGCTTGAGTTGAAATGATTTTAAAAAAAGATTTTGACTAATATTGATATCCAGTGGCTACTGAAATAACATTAGACTTCTTTTTTGACATTCATGCCAACAGGTTGTTAAAACCATCAAGTAAGTAAAGTTAAAAGTGGCAGTGCTTTAAAATGGGTTTATATCTCTATATATTGCAAAGCAGAAGAACTGCCGAGTAGGTTTGTTTATTTACTTGGGCCCAAGTATATTTTAAGAAAGTGTCTGCTGTATATTCTAACACTGAATATCTTAATACTTATCTGGTAAAGACATTTTTGTTTAATTCCTCTGTTTACCATGCTAATATATACATACATTTCTTCAGTTTTAGATACTTGCTAATTGGCTTAAACATGAAGTC